CGGTGCGTTGGAATTTCCTGCAATTTACTCAAGCGCCGCGCTCCCGACACCCAGGCACCCAGGAATCGCGCTCACGCTTAGGACGCCCTCACAGATTACATAGGAATCGGGATCTCGCTGCCCTTCGTGGCCCCGTTGCAGCCCTTCGTGGCCCCTTCGCTTTGTTTCGTGGCCCCGTTGCAGCCCTTTGTGGCCCACTCGTTGCCCTTCGTGGCCCCGTTGCAGCCCCTCGTGGCCTCCTCGCTGCCCTTCGTGGTCGCGTTGCAGTCCTTCGTGGCCCCCTCGCTGTGTTTCGTGGCCCCGTTGCAGCCCTTCGTGGCCCCCTCGCTGCCCTTCGTGGCCCCGTTGCAGCCCTTCGTGGTCCCGTTGCAGCCCTTCGTGGCCCCCTCGCTGCCCTTCGTGGCCCCGTTGCATCCCTTCGTGGCCCCCTCGCTGCCCTTCGTGGCCCCATATATGTATGCCCTTCGTGGCCCCCGCTCGTTCGCGCCCGTGGTGGCCCCATATGCATTTGTCCTACGTGGCCCAGTTGCTACCCTCAGTGGCCCCATCATTGCCTTCTGTGGCCCCGCATTATCTGCCCTTCGTGGCCCCCGTTCGTTCGCGCTCTTCGTGGCCCCGTACGCATTCCCTTCGTGTCCCCGCTGTTGCCCTTCGTGGCCTACTTCGTGTCCTTGTGGCCCTGCTGTCGTTCTCTTTCGCTCGTCGTCGTCGTCGCCGTCGCCGTCGTCGTTGCAGTCGTCGTCGTCGTCGTCGTCGTCGTCGTCGACGTCGTCGTCGTCGTCGTCGTCGTCGTCGTGGTCGGTCCACTGCCCGTCCTTCTTGGGGTCGGGTCGACGGTCCGCGGCCGTCCCACCGATCAGCGCTGCCGCTGGCCAAGCCGACGGTCCGCGGCCGCCCCGCCGCTTGCCGGGGCCTGGCCTGCAGGGAAGAACAGTATACCCCCCAAAAGGGGCTCGATCGAAGACGGAGATGGCGGGTATCGAGGGTTTGGGAAATAGGCGATATTGGACACTCGATCAGATAAGGGCGAACAGTCTTAAACTGATTGTTGCTGTTGCTGCTGTTGTTGTTGCTGTTGGGAGGACGGCTTTGGCGGAACCCTGAACCGCCTGAGCGTTTAGGCAATAACGCGAAAACGCAGTCAGGGTGTCCAACAAAAAGCAGCTGTTCAATACTTAAAACTTAAAACCAACAACAACAGCCACAACAACACCAACACCGACAACCAAAACTACAACAACAACAACAACAATAATCATTTTAAGACTATTCGCTCTTACTGGTACGCGTGTCTTGCATTCCGTATACCCCAACCTTTGATACCCGCCCACTTCGTCTTCGATTGCGCCCCCTTTCGGGGGGAATCTCTTCCCTGTGGGCCGCTGACTGAAATGTGGAAAAATCTCGAGCGAAAGCGCCGTTCCTGAGTTCGGGGGCCTTTCTGGCCAAAGGCTCTCGGAATACCGATGGAAAATATCGAACGGGAGCCCTCGGCGCCGTGGCCGGGCCTCCACCAACTTGCCTGAATTACGGGAAAATCTCGAGCGAGAGCGCCGTTCCTGAGTTCGGGGGCCTTCACGGCCAGGGACTCTCGGAGTAAATTGTGAGGGGGTATCGAGCAGGAGCCCTTGTCGTCGTGGCTGGGCCTCCGCCAACTTAATTGAATTGCGAGGAGGTCTCGAGCGAAAGCGCCGTTCCTGAATTCGGGGGCCTCTCTGGCCAGGGTGTCTCGGGGTAGATTGAGGAAGTATCGAGCGGGAGCCGTTGTTGTCGTAGCTGGGCCTCCAAGGGCCCACATTTAGGCTTAAGCCACCGCTCGAGCGGGAGCTTCGTTTTCAGAGAAAATGCAGCCGGCGTCGAGGCAAGAGCGCGCAGAACCGCTTCCGGAGATCAACAACGAATATTTTTAGGAAACAAGTACGCAACAACAGCAACAACGACAACAACAACAACAACGACAACAACAGCAACAACAACAACAACGACAACGACAACGACAACGACAACAACGCCAACAACAACAAACACAACAACATCAACAGTAGCAACAACAACTGCAATCGTCTTAAGAGCGTTCGCTCTTATCTGCTCGCGTGCCATTCAACACGTATATCCCAAACTATCGATATCCGCCCTCTTCGTCTGCGACCGTGACCTCTTAGAAGTATACCTTCCTTACCTCGAGCGTGTATTTCGTGCAGCCCCAAAGGCAGGGGAACAGAGGACAGACGGAAGGAAGGGACAAGGGGCAGGCGGGTTGCTGAAGCGTGCGTGCTGCACGAATCGCGAGAAATGTCGAGCGATAGTACGATTCCCAAATCAACCGCGAGAAAATCCACAGCGAGAGCGTGCTTCCTGAGTGTCGAGGGCGCGGCTTTTGAATGACTTGTAAGGAAGTCCCACGAGAGAGCGCGATTCCTGGATACACCGTGAGGAAGTCCTGCGCGAGAGCGCGATTTTGGAATACACTGTAAGGAACTATTCGGATGGGAGCCGTTGCTGTTGTAACTTGGGAGCCAGGGGCGCAGTCTGGTGACAATCCGCTGTCCCTGCCTGGTAAAAAATGGTGCGAACCGCGGGAGAAACACTTTAATTGAACAATAAAACGGTCACCGGAGGGGGGGTGATCGACAACAAGAAGCGAATAATCATTTTAAGACTGTTCGCTCTTACCTGCTCGCGTGCCGCTCAACACGTACATCCCAGACCCTCGGTACCCGTCCTCTTCATCTTCGATCGGGCCCCCCTGGGGTTGTATCTTCCTTGCCTGGCGCGTGTAATTGGTGCAGCCCTGGAACAGGGCAAGAGAGGACGGATGGCAGGGGGAAGGAAAAGGATGGAACACGGGATTAGCAGGAGGGTGGCTAGGAACAGAAAACACTTGGCAGAACCAGACGGGCCCATCGGGCGGGTAGACCCTAACGGGTGGGTCGGGAATGCGGGCCCAAGCGGCTAGGTCGAGAAGGCGTGCTGTTGAAGCGTGAATACTGCATACATTGCGAGGGGAGCTCGAGCGATAGCGCAATTCCCAAGTAAATCAACCACAGCGAGGGCGTGATTCCTGAGTGTCGAGGGTGCTGCGTCTGAATAGATTGTAAGGAAGCCCCACGCGAGAGCGCGACACCTGCACACCTTGGGAGAAAGACCCGCAATACAGTGTAAGGAAGTATCAGGCGGGAGACGTTGTTGTTGTAGTTCGGGGCCCAACAACGCAGCTCGGTTGCGCCAAGCTTTCCCAGATCAGAGAAAAATGTACGTGCCCCGAAGGGAGCACTTCAATTGAGAAATGCAATGGTTATCGGAGGGGGATCAACAATATAATGATCTAGGAATGAGAACTCCACAACGACAACGCAACAGCAATCTCCACCACGGAAACCAATTTCAGCCACGACCCCAGGGACAGTGAATGACCGTTCGGCCCCCTCACTCTGATTCAACACTAGTAACAACAATTAGGTGTCCTAGAAGACGACGACGGCGACGGCGACGGCGACGACGACGACGAGGACGAGGACGACGACAACGGCGACGGCGACGACGACCCCCCGACCTCTCAAGGGGGCGCATCCTGACTAGCACCTCGAAGCGGACCAAGCCCCAAGCCGTGGCGACGAGGGCGGGTCGCGGGAGGCCCCCGAGCGCAGAACACCTCAATCCTCGAACCTCGAGCGACGACGGCGAGGAGGAGCGGGGAGGAGCAGGAGGAGGAGGAGGAGGAGAAGGAAGAGGAAGAGGAACAAGCAGAAACAACCACGACCACGACGACGACGACCAGGACCACGACCACGACGACGGCGACGGCGACGACGACCGCGACGACGGCGATGCCCCTCCGAAGGCAGCGCCGTCCAAAAACACTCGAAAGACGAAGGCGACGACCTCCTGGCCGCTCCTGTGGTGCCTCATGGCCAGAACTCCGATAGGACATCCGTTCGTGGCCACGAGAGGACGCCAGGGAGCCCCAACAGGGCCAGAGAGCATCCGAAAACATCCGAATACCTAGACGAACCTCAGTCCTCGAGCCTCGACGGGGCGAGGATGATGTCATGATGGGATTGGCTCGGGATGCGTCGGAAGACTTCTAAAAGTACCTGGCGGCCCCCGTTTCTGGAGACCGTGCGGAACAATAATTACCCATCGGTCGTGACAAGCAGATAGAAACATCAAGTAGAAAGGCGTTGAAAGTAGATTGGGTGTCCGCCCGCCCCCTAGAGAGGACGGAAAAGGTGAAGCCACTCGATCACCATTGAAGTAGGAAGGCGCTCAAAGTATATTGAAATCTGGGTTCCCCAGAATACCTACTTTCAACGACCGATGGGTACAGTGCCAGCAAGAAACCCTCGCAAGAGACCCATCCCTAGAAACCCGCGCGCGAGACGCACCTGGCGGGGGAACCTGGAGCATCCTGAACGCCGCAGCTTCTTCTACGGCCACGGGGAGTCACCGCACAGCTCGCGGAGCGAAGAAGCCCAGGTACCCAGACGAAAAGCATGCAGTGGAGGCCAGTCCACAAGAAACCCTCCACAAGAAACCTGACCCTGAGACCCCAGGACGTCCATGGATTCGTGGTGTGGGAACGTCACGCTCTCCACCGCAAAGCCGTCGACGCCCAAGAAGCCCATGGGCCCCCTGTAGGCACGCAGGGGGCTCCTCAGCAGGGGCTTCCAGGGCGTGGCCTCTCGGAGCGCACCCCGCCTGCCGGAAAACCTGGGCGCCCGGCAGAGCTCGGGACTGCTTGCCCCATCGAGCCTCGGCGATCGCCGGCGGCGGCGGCCCCCTCGCGCGGGGGGGCGCCGCCGCTGCCGTGGGGACCCCACGGAGGACGTACGCGCCTAACCATGCACATGAACACGGCCCCTCGATCCGCGAGACCGTCCGCATGATACGAACATTCGAACAAGGTATGCTCTCGAAACCAACGTGGATTCATGTACGTGCACGCCCTTCTGTCGCTTCTGAGCTGCCCGCCGCCCTGGGCGCCCGCTGCCCCGGGGCGCGTCCTGCAGCGACTGCCAGGGGGCCGTGTCCCGGATGCGGCCGAAGAAGTGGGCGCGCAGCGAGGGCTCGAAGGCGCCTTCGGGCAGCCCCTCCTCCTCCTCCTCCTCCTCCTCCTGCTCCTGCTCCTGCTCCTGCTCCTTCTCCTCCTCCTCCTCTTCTTCCTCCTCCTCCTCCTCCTCCTCCTGCTCCTCCCCCTCCTCCTCCTCCGCCCTCCTCCTCCTCCGCCCTCCTCCTGCTCCTCCTCCTCCTCCTCCTCCTCCTCCTCCTCCTCCTCCTACACCTCCTCCCCCTCCTGGTTCGAGGATCGAGGGTCACCTGTCGTGGGTACTCTTGGTGGGTTGTTTGATGGGGGGGGGGCGATCATGGAGGGGGTGAAGAAACGTGCACCTGTCGTGCCCCTGTGGGGTCCCTTGAGGGCTCCCAAGGCGCACGAAGGGTGCACCTTTCTTGGCCCCCCCCCCATTTGTCGCCCCCTCGTCACGCAACGCCCGAACTTTGCTGATTTGTTGGGCCACCGGGAGGCTTCTCGTCGCCACGGCCAGCTTCCCCTCGGAGTTCTGCCCAGACCGCACCCCTGGAGAACGCAGGTCTCCAAATCGCGCGCGGCGAGGGCGCGAATGAACCTCGAGGTGGCTCCGAGGCTCGAAGGTCGAATACCACTTGTCCAGAAGCCTCCCACATTGAAGGGGCCCTGGGACACACACACACACACACACACACACACAAAAAAAAAAAACATACACACAAATAGCAGAATTCCACATATATATATATATATAGATTTCTCGTAGTTTCTGGGTTTTTGTCTTCCCCCCCACCTCCCATATTTTCGCATATTTTCCTGGGAATCGACGATTATGGGTGTCTGTGTGTTCTTCTCCCTCCTGACACATGGGGTCCGAATAGATGGGGCCAGCGGATCACGCCGCATCGCCGATGCATCACCGATGTATCGGCGACGTCGACGATGTGTCGGTGCCGTTGGCGTGGAGAAAATTGGGCTCCACATCGCGCGCAGCGAGGGCTCGGAAGGGCCTGGGGACGGCTGGGTAATTCAAGGATCACTTGCTTTTGGGGCGCTTCTGGGGCATTGCTAACGTAATGCGTAATGGGGGCCCAAAGGCTGCACGGAAGGTGCACGTCTCTTCGCACCCCCACTTCATCATCTTTTCATTGCGCATTGCCGAAACTTTTCTAATCTATTGGGCCTCCGGGAAACTTCTCGTCGCCACGGTTGGATTCCCTCGGAATTCTGCCCAGAACGCACTCCTGGAGAGGTCCCGGGGAAGATGTGGGAGGGGATGTTGGCAGAGGAGGACACTGAAGAGGAAACACAAACGGAAGAGGATCATCACACCAGGAGAACGGAGAAACAAGGACACACGAGAAGCAGGAGGGACATTTCCACCCCCTCTTCGCGTAATGACAAACAAACGCGACGGATCGTTGTTTTCACAATCTTCAACCACGTGGGACCCTTACCGAACCCCAGGACCGTCAAAAACCAGCTCAGGATGACACGCCGGTCCAAGGGGAGAGGTCGAGACCTGAGAGGGTTCACGTTGAGAAGCAAACACATCAGGGACTTGGGGAACCAGACCGAGGATCGAGGGTCGAGGACCGAGGGGCCAGAGGGCCCACGACAGGCCACAAACCAATGAATGCACCACGTGGGTCTTGCGCGCTCTCTTCTCGGCGGCGCGCCAGGGGGGAAGTGAGAGGGGGCGGGCCTTCTCGAAGGCTCGGAAGTCCCCATGGCCTCCTAAGAAGTTCTCTAGGCCTTCCCCAAAGACGCAAAACACCTTTTAGAGGCCGCAGAGCTTCTGAGAAACCCCGCTGCCTTCTGAGAGGGCTTCGTCCTTCTCACCTCCCCTCGCGCTCGCCGCCGAGCTTCGTCTTAGGCCTGGCCCTTCCAAGAGGGCCACCTGCCGTCCTGCGGGGCCGCCCTCCCCCCCGCGCCATGCCGCCATGTGCCGCCAGGGACCGAGCTTGGCATCGCTCGCCGCCGTCCCAGACATCCGCCGATCTGATTTTTGCACAACGTCGACCCTGAGAGGCCTCGACCCAGTCCCCTGGACCGCTGACTCATCCTGCGTCGTTTTTGGACGGTCTCGCGGCCTGGTAAGGGCCTCCGGAAGCCGGAACGACGGACAAGCCTCCCGTCGTGATTTTTGTCACTGCCAGAAGGAGGGGGTGGTTTTCCAGAAGAAGAAAAAACTACTTAAACATAAACTTTGCGCGCGCCGCGCTGGGCCTCCCTTCCTGGCGCGGTGAGCGCGCCAAGGGCGGCGCAGGAGGCGCCGCAGCGCGGATCCAAACAACCCACGCGGAGCGGCGGAGCGCAACACAGAAACAATTGTTGTGTACATATACACACATATATATACATACATATACATACATACATACATACATACATACATACATACATACATATTCATGTAAATATTCATAGTTATGAATATGAATATATAGCTACATGTATGTATGTATGCATGTATGTATGTATGAATTTATGTGTGTACGCATACACACACATATACATATATATGTGCACATACAAACACATATATATGTACATACAGTTACAATCATACATGTATCTATATATACCGTTTGACAGCACGTGCCACGCCAATGGTCTAATAGCTCAATTTCCCCCTGAGAAAGCGGTTCGCCGCGAACCGCCCGATGCCCCCTTCCCCCGCAGCTGCGCCAAGCCAAAAGCAAGGTCCCCCGCAGCCAGAGCAGCCAAGCGTGGCAGTCCACACTGGCTTCACTCTGGCTTCACGGGCGAGCTTCAGGACGGGGAGGGGCGCTTCAGGACCCAAGTCACACTGAACCCAAGTCCGCGGCGCCGCAAAGAACGGGGGAAAACATGCTATACGTGATAGACTACGGCACCACAGGCAAACATTGAGCCGGCTAGCTTCTACAAGAAATCGTTATGGTGGGTGGTGGGTGGGTCGGGAACCAGAGCAGCTCTGGTACGGAGGGCAGACGGCGTAAGGGATACACGCACCAAGTGGTATGACCATACAAGCCTGTATACGGACATACCGTTTTACTGCACGTGTCCACGCCAATGGTCTGGGAGCTCAGTTTCCCCCTCAAACTGCGGTTCGCCGCGAACCACCCGACGCCCCCTTCCCCCGCAGCTGCGCCAAACCAAAAGCAAGGCCCCCCGCAGCCAGAGCAGCCAAGCGCAGCACCCACTGGCTTCACTCTGGCTTCACGGGCGAGCTTCACGACGGGGAGGGGCGTTTCAGGACCCAGGTCACACTGAACCCAAGTCCGCGGCACCGCAAAGAACGAGGGAAAACGCGCTATACCATCACCGCCCCCTCGTGGCTTGCTAGCCGTGAAAATGCGGTTGAACTCACCGCCCCATCCACCTCATTTGCAGTGCATTAGTCTGCTGTCGACGTGAAAACTACGAAATCATTGCCAGTGCAAAACTCGCGAGCATAAACGAAAAAAAAAAAAAACCAAGTTGGCACAGCTCTGATGCATGCAACAAGCGAGTCCATACAAGCAAGCGGCGGCGGCCAAGTCCGCGGGCCGCGCGCGCACGAGGTCGGACACCGCACCCTCGATGCAGGCGCGGGCCGTCATGCTCAGTCATGCTGATGTGCAGCACGACTGAGCACCTCGGTCGAATACGTCGCCCACCTTCAACGCAAAGGCCTCGCCCCCCCGCAGCAGGCCCTCAAAGCTGATGAGCAGCAGGCAGCTCAAGTCGAACGCTCCGGCCTCCACTGCCAGGCTCGCCATGCCCGCGGCGATGTCGGGCGTGAACGGCAGCGCCCGCCCTGCATGTACCACGCGCCGCCAGGCCTTCCACAGCGCCCACGACCGGTCCAGCCTCCGCCAGAGCTTGGGCAACGGGGCGCACACGCCCGCGGCTGCGTCGCTTGTCAGCGCGATGCGTGCCGATCAGCGGGCGCACGTCTGCCGCGATCGCCATGGCCACCCGACCTCCCGCGCTGCTGCAAGCTGCAGCTGCTGCTGCGACCCTTGGGGGCGATGGTCACTAAACCTGACTGTCGACGACGCGGGAACACCGCGCGCAGTGTCAAGCCGATTTCTGCGCTCGCCACCGCATAGCTGCCAGCATTGCCTGCAGCTCTCCCACGTTGATGCGCGCGCGCGCGCCTCGCGCGACCACGCCATGCTCAGCACGACGCACCGCCGCCGCGCGAAGGGGTCCAGGCCCGAGCGAGGACAGCCTCCTTGACGGCATTGCAGGTTGCAATCCAACCGCACGTCCGGGCCCCCCTACTCCGCGTGGCCCAGGAGGTGGGGGGGGCAGGCGCCTGGCCCCCTCGATGTTCGGGTCGCCCGAGCTGTCCTAAGCCGCCGCACTGGCCCCAGATCTCGCGGCGCTGGCAGACGCGCGTGATCTCGGGCGCGGACAGAAGGGGGGAACGCCAAAGCTGACTCCGCCAGGAGGACGTGCTGCAAAGCCCGGTGACCCGTGGACGATGAAGCTGCGCTGTGCCCGAGCAGGAAGGCCCCGGCGTCTGAGGCGGCCCGCAGGTTCGAGCCCTTCGTGGCTACAGCGGTGTAACCTGCATCGAGCCCGTGTTGTTTTTTTCTATGTTTTTCTTATTTTCTTGTTTTTTTCTCCTTCTCTCTCTCTCTCTCTCTCTCTCTCTCTCTCTCTCTCTCTCTCTCTCTCTCTCTCTCTCTCTCTCTCTCCGTGCAGCTTGGCAGCCTCCCTGGCGGCCCCCCAGAACAATCGTGGGCGAGATTATCCTCGTCGCCCAGCGCAGCGCGATGGCGGAACAAATCGCCCTGCCGTCGATGCCGAGCCCAGGCCCCGCGGCGCCGACGGGAAGCTCAGGGGCCCCTCCGCAGCGCGCCACCGTTGGGAAGTGGAGCGGGCGCTCGGCCCAGCGAAACTTCTGGCCCTCCCACTCTCGATGTCCAGCAGCGGCCCGGTGTCTGCCATGACCTCGAGGTAGCGGCCCTTGTCGACAAAGCGCAGCGGCGGTGCCACCTGGGGCGACACGGCGCCGTGAGCGACGAGCAGGGGAGGTACGGCTTAACTCCCATGCAGCTGGACATGGCCTGACGCTCTCGTCTGTCATCCTCGCCGCGTTCTCGAGCAGCGAGTAGAACCGCCGCCCGAACGTCTGCCGCAAGAGCCAGAATCTCCAGGGCACCTCGTAGCACAGGGAGCCCCTGCGGCCATGCAGTCCTCCACCGCTCGCGTCGAGTCGCGAAAGGCCCTGGCGCGGGCCGCCCGTGCCAGCGGCGGCCGCGTCCACAGTGCCCGAGAACATGTCAAAGAGGTCCTGCAGCAGGCCCTCGCCCCCCCGCGCCACGCCGCCCCCGCCGATCGCGCCTGGCCAGCGCAGCTGGACAACGCGCCTGGCCTTCGCGTCAGTCTCGGCGGTGACATCGGCGACGATCCTGGCGGGCAATTTCGAGAGCGACACCGCGAGGCCGCCGATGCCGTCGTCGAAGAGCCCCCCCCCGACTAGGACAGTGAGCACCTTGAAAACGACTGCCTTCGGTAGCCTCGGGTTAGACACGGTCCAAGGGCACCGCGGTTCTACAGGCATGTTGAGCAGCCGAGTGCCCGCGCCGAGGTGATCAACGACCTGTCTCACGGACTTGAGCGCCAATGCCGCTTCCCCCCGAGGGCTCGTGGACGCACAAACGCCGCCCCCGAACTCCGATGCGTCCGAGACCGTGACCATCCCCTCAACGCGGGCCCGAAGAGAGGTGGCCGCTGCAGGCAGCAGCATGAGGCCCGTGAAGAGCTCCTCGACCATCTCAGCATTGTACTGGACCGAAGATCACGCCGTCGACATAGACCATACAGAGTTGAGCAGGCTGGAAAGCGGACGTCTGAATCCAAACGCCCGCACCAGCTTGCCGAGGCCCATCATGCACACGCGCCAGGGCCCCCGCTTCTGCGACCACGTCGCGAAGCAAAGGGCAGCGGTATTCAACACCTTGGGGCGTGGCGCTGCAAGCCGCCCGCTGACGCCATCCACGCCGGCGCCCATGCGCTCAACCCGCGTCTCCCGCAGGTGAGCCTTCTCCGCCGAGCAGGCCACACTAGCTCTCGCAAACGCACTGCTGACAGTCCGCCTCGGTGCCCCCGAGCTGTCGCGCCCGCACCTCGTCCACGGTCTCGGGCACGTCGAAGTCGTCGATGTAGACCTGCCACCAGCCAGCCTCGCAGCCGCTGCCCAGCTCGACGATGGGGCGTGCCTCGTCCTTCTGCCACTCCGCCTCAGGCGGAAGCCCTGCGCCCCTGGGCGGCGGCAGGCGGCACAGCCTGCAGTGAATGTGCTGGAATATTGGGGCCGCCAGCATCCACCCCATAGCCATCACCTCGGGCGCGATGTACACCTGCCGCTCAGGGCGCCCGAAAAGCGCGCCAGCAAGAGACCTGCCGATCGCCATGTAGGGGTGCCAGGCCTTTGGGACCCTCCAGACGCAAAAGGTCCCCTTCTGGTCGTCACCCGTCAACAGCAGCCACTTGCCCTCGGGGGTGTGCAGGGGCACCCAGCTTGCGGACGCCGCGAGGAGCGAAGCCTCACCGACAGGCGACTCGAGCAGGGCGTTGCCAAGGACCATGTTCAAGATCAGCCCGATGACCCGCTCGCCGCCTGGCCCTGGCTTGCCCTCCTTTGCTACCGCGAAGAAACAAGCTGCGTATGGGAGGTTGGGACATTTGCCCGAGCAGTGGAGTTGCGAACTCATTAGTGAGCATCGCTTGCACCACATAGACCGCACCACATAGCTTAGACCACGTAGTTTGCACCGCACAGCTTTCGCCGCGCAGCTTGCACCTCAAAGTTTGCACCACGTAGCTTGCACCATGTTGCTCGCGCCACAAAGCTTCCACCGAATTCCGGTGTTCGACATGTGGCTGAACGGTGGGGCTGGGGGGAGCGGTCCGGGTCTGGGCCCGTGCTTGGTCGATCTGCTTTGGCCAGCCGCGCAAGCAAGCTGGGGGGAAGGGGCCCCGACAGTCGCCACAAGCAGCCGCCAAAATCGGCCAAGATCTGGTCTATTGGTAAGTCGGGCGTGTCCTCCTACAGGGGAAGTTTTGACAGACAAACGAAAAATACCACAACAATATTCCAAACAGGTCCAACAAAATACTCAACAAATCGTCCCCATACTATTTGTTGTTGTTTGTTTGGGGGGCTATTTTTGGGTATTGTTCTAATATTCGTTATTGTTCGTAGAAAATCCCCCTGCAGGAGGACACGCCCGACTTAAGTCTATTGGGGGAGGGAGGGGGGGGGCACTGGGGCCCGCGCCGATCGGCGAAACAGGGCATGCAAAACGGCGACCAGAGTGCAACAACTCCTTGTTGACACCGTCCTGGCCGAAACGCAAACGCCACACAATCCACCCACGCCTTGGTAAACATCGCGATCCAAATCAATCGCACTGCCGCAGAAGTCAATCAAGTTTACCTAGAGGGAGGGGGGGAAACAAAAGGTACGCATACGGCTACTCCCCGGAACTCTCCCACGGTGCGTTCTGACCAGGATCTCGGAGCGAGTCCAGCGCTGGCGCCGAGGGCCGCCCAAGAGGCCCATGAAGGCGAAAACGTAGGAAAGGTAGCGGCATGGGTACCGTTTCCTCCTCTGATAGAGGAGGGGCCTCTGGCAGCCTCTGCAGGCGGCTTCAGGAGGAGAAGGAGGAGGAGGAGGAGGAGGACCTTGACCTTGACCAGCCTCGGATCCCTGCCGAGTCGTCTACTCTGGGCCCCACTTCGCTCCCTAATCGCCAATCGGGATCTGGCTGAGATTACCATGTAATCCGTCACTTCACTGAAGGCCTGCAGTCGCAAGCAAACGATCGGGCCCAACCGCACCTCGCCCCCACGCAGGGGGCTCTGGGCGGAGTGGCATCTGCTTCAACTGTCTCACGGCCACCTGTCTTGTTCCCTCGGCCTCTGCCCTTTCACGCCCCCCGTCAGGAGGAGGAGGAGGAGGAGGAGGAGGAGGAGGAGGAGGTCTCTTTCCGCAGCCCGACTGCCCCCCCTGATTTCCCCAATGGGAGGCCCAGAGAGCTTGCCCGGAGGCCTCACCGACCCTCCTGGGTGACCTCGTCGTTCGGGAAACGCCGCCCGTGGCACATCTATTGGAGTTGCAGGAGAGCCCAGAATCGAATCGATGAGCCGGATCGACGATCGAAAGGAATCGGATCGGCAGAAATCGGCAGCAGAGCCGGGAAATGTCGAATCGGCGGAAATCGGCGGGCTAATATGCAGTACGCATATATCAAGAAATCGGAACCTAAATCGGAATCCCAAGTCGAATCGGATCGGAATCGGAAGCCATCGAGATCGAATCGAATCGAGTCGGACGAACCGAAATGAGCATTGTTGCGTGCTTCGCAGATCATCACATTCTGCGATTAACCCGTGGTTCTGCCATGGTGGTCACTCGGATGTCCTTCGAGTGTCCCTCGGCTGTCCCGTGGTTGTCCCGCTGTTGTCCGCGTCTGTCCGATTCGTCCTCGCAAGACACCGCGGGCGACTCAACCTCATCGCGAATCAAAAGGTCGCTACAGCGGAGGCCAATCCTCCACAAAAAACAAAAAATCAACCCTGAGACCCCAGGACGTCCATTGACTTCTTGCGTAGGAGCATCACGATTTCCATAGCAGAACCATCGAAACTTGAGCCACCCGGGCATCCTGGAGGCAAGCAGAGTGTTTCTTGGCATGGGTCTCCACTGCAGGCGAACCGGGAACGCCGCACAAGCCGACCTGCAGCAAGCAAGCTTATGCACTGCACCGCAGCCTGAGCAACAAGTCGACGGTGCAACTGCGACAGGAGGGAAGAGAGAGGAGGACAAATCCACAATACAATTTGTGAGGTTGTCCGCGGTGTCCCGTGGTTGTCCCGCCCCACCCTCCCTTAGCCTTCCTTCGCCCGTCTCTGGAGGGGCCCAGGGACACGCAAATAAATAAACACAGGATTCCCCATATGTTCCCAGACTTTCTGGGTTTTCGCCCTCCCCCCCACGTCCCATATTTTCATAATTTTCCTGGGAGCCGACGATCAATTAATTGTGTTTGTGCGTTGTTCCTCCTCCTGAGTCTCAAGTCTGGCCTGCCCGGCCTCCCCTCCCTTTCTCTGGCCCGCGTCCTCCTCTCCCGCGGCGTGAGCTCCTCTCCCCGTCGCCTTGCATGCCTCCCTCTGCCTCCCCCCCAGTCGTTCTCCCTCCGCCTCCGGCCCCCTCTGCCTCGGTTTCTCTGGGACTCTTATGTCTCTCTCTCTCTCTCTCTCTATCTATCTATCTCTCTCTCTCTACTTATCTTTGTTGTTTCTCTCTCTCTCTCTCTCTCTTTCTCTCTCTCTCTCTCTCTCTTTTCTCTCTCTCTCTCTCTCTGTCTGCTTACTCGTCTCTATTGTTTTCTTTGTCTCTCTCTCTCTCGGTCTTTCTGTGTCTCTTCCTCTCTTTCGCTGCGCTCTATTATATCATTCCTCTGTTTCCTCTCTTTTGTCTCTTCCTCTCTTTTGTCTCTTCCTCCCGTTCCTCTCTCTCTCTCTCTCTCTCTCTCTCTCTCTCTCTCTCTATATATATATATGTATATATCTATATGAATGTATATCAATGCCTTTTTACTGCCCCGATCGGCATTCCATGCCAGCGCCTCCACGGGAGGCGAAGTACCTGGGGCCCCACTGGGCCACATCAAAAACGAGACGATTCCCGTCGAGTGCAACCGATCCCAGAACACGACAGTGTACCGCAGCTCGACATATTCAAGAAAAGATACTGGCAGACCCAGCAAATCACACCAGCAGAGGAGGAGGAGCGGAGGAGGAGGAGAGCGAGCTGCGGTCCGATGAAGACACTGATAAAGCTCCAGAGCACCAACCAATGCCTTTTTACTGCCCCGATCGGCATTCCATGCCAGCGCCTCCACGGGAGGCGAAGTACCTGGGGCCCCACTGGGCCACATCAAAAACGAGACGATTCCCGTCGAGTGCAACCGATCCAAAACTGCCTACAGCCGATATTCTGCGAAGTCGTGTTCTGGGAGCTCAAACAAAACGAGGACCCAGCAGGGCGGCAAAGGATCGACAAGCCAGGGCCCCCCAAGGGGCCGAGGGAAGTCGATCCGCCCGGACACCAGGGAGGCGCCCAACCCAAGACAGCGGAGCACAAGACGGAAGACGAGGGCAGGAGGAAAATATTTAGGCAGAGAACCGCTTCGTGAGGCGCGCAAGCACCTCTCCCGGAAGCCGGGCGGCGCGGCTCGGCGCCTCGAGGACCGTCGAGCGCTCCAGCTTGGCCAACTGGCGCAGGAGCTTGGCCGGCTTGCCGTATCTGCGCACGGAGTTGACCACTGACCAGCGGCCTCGCATCATCACGAAGTCGAGCGAGGCGTCGTTGTAGTGCATGTCGTGGGAGGGGCCTGCGTGGCGCAGGCAGTGTGGTGTGATCTTGACGCCGTCGACATCACCATACTTTCGGAAGATGGCCTTGAGCTTGGCGAGCGCGAGGTGACGAAACAGCAGCGTGCCTGGCGGCACGCGGTGGGACATCTTCTGAAGCACGTCGACTGCAAACGATCGGCCGAAGGCCCCGATCTTCACCCCCTGGTCGAACTGCTTATTCTTGGCAGGCTTGCCTCCTTCTGGCGCCACGACGAGAGCCCACGACCGGTTGGCCGTGCCGCGCTTCGGCGGGATAACCTGCGCGGCAGTCAACTCCAGGGCTTCCGAAGGCCTGAGGTAGGCGTCGAAGGCGAGGAGGCAGAAGGCCGAGGCGAGGTCGCAGTCCAAGGTGTTGGCCAGCAGCAGCCGCCCCACCAAGCACCAGATCGCCTCCAGCGGCGGCGGGTCGCGCATGGTGTCGGGGCGGATGCTGGCGAAGCCTTTCAGGGCCTTCTTCGAGAGGGGCAGCGCTGACGGATTGCGGGTGACGAAGTCGAGAGACCAGGCCGTGCCGTAGAGAGCGACGCGTCCGACAGCCGCCGAAGCCCCCTCCAAAAACTCCATCTCAAGGTAGTCGTGGAGGATGGCGTCCCACTCCTTCATGGTCTGCGGTGAGGCCCCCCGCCCGGCCGCGAACTGCTGCACCAGCGCGAAGGCCTTGGCGTAGGTGTCGCGGGTCCTGGCCGAGACGGTGGCCCGTCGCAGGAAGCCGGGGGCCGAGTCGACCACGCTGCTGGCGCGCCGCCGCTTGCGGGTCATGGGCGCGATTATAGGCACGGATCTCGGCGAGGATGCGGAGCTCCTCTGCGAGCGGCCTCCCGCTCCAGCGCCGCGTGCACCCCTCCCAGCCGAGGACAGCATCGCGAGGGAGTCGCGGGGGCGCCACGCGTCGGCCCCGCGAGCCGGCGCCCGCAGTCCCGGCGGCGTCCAGCAGCCGGTTCTCCCACCAGTCGGAGGTCTGCCCCTCGCCGCGGAGGCACCACGCGCCAGCAGGAGCAGCGCCAGCAGCCACCCTCGCGAAGGTCCGGCAGAGCTTCGGCGGGTGCGCGCCCCCGTAGGAGGTCCGCCACTTTGCAGGTCCAGATGCCCCTCCGACTTTCCCCTCCAAGATGACGTGTCCTCGGTGGCCGGGGCATCTGTGCTCGAGAGAGTCGGCCCCGGGCAA